AGAGGTCCTGGGAATTGCAATAAAGTAAGGAAAAGAAATAGAAGGGAAGAAGTGAAACCTTCTTTATTTACAGATGACCTAAGATACAAGGTTAAATTGTATTTCTATATACTAGCAGCAAACAATTAGGACATAATATTTTAACTCCATCTTCAGAAGCATCAAAACATATAGAATACTTAGGAATAAATTTAACGAAAGACATGGAAGACCTCAACTGAAAACTTCAGGCCGTTGCTGAGAGCAATTAAAGAATACCTAAATAAATAGAGAAATATACCTTATTCATGAATTGGAAGTTTTTAATATTGTTAAGATGTCACATCTCCCTAAATTGTTCTATAGATTCAAAACAGTCTTCCCAATGAATTTTGTAGAAATTGACAAGTTTATTCTAAAAATATAAATCAAAAGCTAAAGGCTTGGAGCCACAAAAAAATCTTAAAGAAGAACAACAAAGAACTCATACCACCTGATTCAAGAGTTATTATAAAGTTAGAGTGATTAGGAGAGTGTGGTGTTGGAATGAGGATAGACAAATAGATAAATGGGTCAGAAGAGAGCCCAGAAATAGAACTACATGTACATGGTCATGATTTTTTTTTTTTTTTTTTGAGGAAGATCAGCCCTGAGCTAACATCCATGCTAATCCCCCTCTTTTTGCTGAGGAAGACCGGCCCTGAGCTAACATCTATTGCCAATCCTCCTCCTTTTTTTTTTTTCCCCCCCAAAGCCCCAGTGGATAGTTGTATGTCATAGTTGCACATCCTTCTAGTTGCTGTATGTGGGACGCAGCCTCAGCATGGCTGGAGAAGTGGTGCGTCGGTGCACACCCGGGATCCGAACCCAGGCCGCCAGTAGCGGAGCGCGAGCACTTAACTGCTAAGCCACGGGGCCAGCCCCTGGTCAATGATTTTTAATGAAAGTAGCAAGGCAATTTCAGGAGGAAAAGGAGTCTTTTCAATAAATGGTGCTGAAATAAGTGGAAAGACATTGGGGAAAAAATGACTTTTGGTCATTTTTATATGAGGACTCTTACCTCATATCACACACAAAAATTAATTTGAGATGTATCTTAGACCTAAACATAAGAGCTAAAATGATAAAGCTTCTACAAGAATATCTTTGCCGCCTTGAATGGCAAAGATTTCTTTGAGAGGACACGAAAAGCACTATACATAAAATAAGAAGTGATACGGTAGACTTTGTCAAAATTAAAAACTTCCATTCATCTAAAGATACCATTAAGAAAATGAAAAAAAACAACAGACTTGGAGAAAATATTCATAATACATATCTATGACAAATACTTAAATCCAGACTATGTAAAGAATTTCTTTAAATCAGGATCTATAATCTTTTTCTGTAAGGGCCAGATCGTAAATATTTTAGGCTTTGCGGACCACAGAATCTCAGTAGCAACTACTTAACTCTGCCAGTGTAGTGCAAAAGCAGCTAGAAAATACATAAACAAATGGACTGTGCTGTGTCCAATAAAGCTACATGTACAAAAACAGGTGGGCCGAATTTGGCTGACCCCTACTTTAATCAATAACGAAAAGCGCAATAAAACTGGGCAAAAGGCTTGGACAGACATTTCTCAAAAGAAGATATACAAACAACCAATTGGTACATGAAAAGATGCTTAACATCGTCAGCCATCAGGAAAGTGCAAATAAAACCACAGTGAGGTATCACTACACACCAACCAGAAGGGCTACCATTTTAAAAATTAGCAATACCAGAGCTGGTGAGGATATTGAACAACGAGAACTCACATACATTGCTAGTGGGAGTATAAATGGTGCAGCTGCTTCGGAAAAAGTTTGGTGTTTCTTATAAAGCTAAGCAAACACTTACCATAGGACCTAACAATTCCACTCGCAGGTATTTACTCAAAATAAATGAAAATGTACCTCCATAACAAGATTTGTATACAAATGTTGATAGCATCTTGTGTTTAATAGTCCAAAACTGGTAACAACTCCAATGGCAATTGACAGGAGACTAGATAAACAAGTGGTGGTATATTCATGCAGTGGAATACTACTCAGCAATGAAAAGAAATGATCTGCTGATACACGCCAACAGCTCAGTGAAAGAAGCTTGACACGAGAGTACATACTGTGTGATTCCATTTAAGTGACGTATGCAAGAGTCCAACTAATTTATAGTTGTAGAAGTCAGATCAGAAGTGCCTTAAAAGGGTTGGAGAGTGATTGGAAGGAGGCATGAGGGAACTTTTTGGGGTGATATAAATGTTCTATACCTTGAAACGGGTGGTGGTTACATGGAGACATATATATTTGTCAAAAGTCATTAATTGTATGTTCAACGTGTTTACATACGTTTCACTGTATGTAAATTTTACCTCAGTAAAATTAGAAATCCCGTACATTCTGAAATGAACAGACCTGCAAGATGTGTTAAGTTAAAAAAGCAAATGATAGAGCAGTATGCAGTGTACTTACCTTTTGCATAAAAAGGAAATATCGGTGTGACTTATGTGTTTATATACATATAAGTGTATATATGTATGTATAGGTTATACAAGCAAATATATATATGTGTATATTTTTGGCTATACAAATATATGTATTTACTTGTATAACCATTACATCAAACAAACATGACCTTTAGGGTATAGTCAGAAAGCAAGTTTATTTTTGTCTGTCTCTTTAAATTTATTCAGTGGGACTAGTTTTTTCCATGAAACCCTTGTCATCTGACTCAGGAGTAGCATCCCTCACCCTCTTCCCCTTGAGGACAGGGATGGATTCACATGACCATTCTCTCTCTCAAAAAAAAACAACTGAGAATTGCTCTTCTACATGATTCTACGCATGTGTCAGCTCCCGTACAGAGTGAACTTGACTATATCCAAATAAACAATAAAATCAACCAAAGCTGAGATCTCAGGATAGAATGTAGACTACGACAGATGAATGTAACTGTAGTACAGATGTAGAACATAATCTCACTGAAGGGAGCAGAGAGAACAGGAGCTGACCTAAGTTACTCTGGAAAACAGCTTTTTGACTGGACACTGTAAGCTAAAGATGAGAAATAAGGTAAAACTAAGAAACTGTCACAGACCAAAGGAGACATGACAACTAAATGTAACGTGGGATCCTGGATGGGGTCCTGGAACAGAAAAAGGACATCAGTGGGAAATGGGGAAATCCAAACAAAGGCTGTAGTTTAGTTAATGGTGTAGTACACATGTTAATTTCTTAGTTTTCACCAGTGTGCCGTGGTTATGTAAGGTGGGAACCTTAGGGGAAGGGGAGTGAAAAGTACATAAGAACTCTCTGTAATACCTCTGCAGTTTTTCTGTAACTCAAAAATTATTCCAAAATTAAAAGTTTATTTTTTAGAGTATTCTAATCTCCAATTCCCAACTCTTTTATACTCTCAGTATGGGTGAGGAGTTTAAGAATAACCTAACCAGTTCTCTCCCACCTCATGTTTGGTATAAGCCCCGCATGGTGGGTTCTGGCATCTTGTTTTGGAATATAATTTTTATTATCTTTGAGCCTCAGCTGCAAACTTGCATTTAAATTTTCTGTTACATTCACATGTGCTAAAAAATGTCTCTAGAATGATATACAAGAAAGCAAACAATGGTGGCCTGTGAGGAAATGTACTTTGGTGGCTCAAGGAGATGAAAGGGCAATTTCTCACAGTTTATTCTATTGTACCTTTGGAATTTGAGGCGTGTGAATGTGTTACACTTTCAAATTTTTTAATTAAAAAAAACCAACTGCTCAGTTGTATTACTTTTCTTTTGAATCACTATTCAGTGACTCAGGAGCTATTTCTGTAGTGTTGTGACTTCCTGAGCAGGAGTCTTCCATATGTTCTATGTTGTGCTTCATTGGAGGTTTTGGAAGTCATTTTTTCTTCGTGGAAATGTAATATTGATTGCATTTGGGGGTCTCCCTTATTTCATCTTCACACATTTCACAAAATACTTGTGACTGCCTAATAGTTTAGCAATCCATCAGATAATTTGGGTTGGGATTATTTCCACTGTTTGCGGCCAATGGAAGGAAAGAAAAGTAGAACCCTGTGAAGATGTTTGTGGCCTCATTAAGAGCCATTAAGGTGGGGGCCAGCCCCATGGCGCAAGTGGTTAAGTGCGCGCGCTCCGCTGCGGTGGCCCGGGGTTCGCCGGTTCAGATCCCGGGTGCGCACTGATGCACCCCTTGTTAAGCCATGCTGTGGCGGCGTCCCATATAAAGTAGAGGAAGATGGTCACGGATGTTAGCCAAGGGCCAGTCTTCCTCAGCAAAAAAGAGGAGGATTGGCATCAGATGTTACCTCAGGGCTGGTCTTCCTCACACACACACAAAAAAGTATAAAAAAAAAAAAAGAGTCATTAAGGTGAACATTCCTGGGCATTCTTACATTTCAGGAAGGGACTCAAAAAAGGTTAGCTTTCTCATCTATGCGAGGCAGTTATCAACCACTGCTTCATTCATCACTCATTTATTAAGCACTCACTCTGTTTGTCGCAGGCCTTTCAAGCCTTATACGTTTTCCTAAGAAGGACTGAATAAAGTTGGTAGTTTCATTAATACGGCTTCTGATTGACCCAGTCCATGTCTCTAACACTTCCTTAATGTGATTCTTGTGTTGGAATTGGTAGTTTGTGTCAAAGAAGGACCAAGACATGACAGTCAAAAGTGTCACTCTCAAATTTAGGCTTCTTGTTTCTATGGGACCCCATAATCGGTTTCCCATCCAGAACATCAGCTAGTCGCTGTCGCAGAGTACGGTTGCCTGGCTTTGTAAGATGTACCGTGCTTTGCAAACAGGATACTAAACCCCTTTTTATTACTACAGATCTTATGCTTTCTTGGATGTTGAGAATTTTAAATAATTTGTTATAAAAAATATTTGTGTATTGAAATATAATTAAATTATAAATAAATAATAATTTTAAATAATTTAAGTAATTAAATAAATGTCTTCGCCATTTATTCTTTTATTTTTAGCAAGTCTTTTCCCTTGTTTAACCGATGCGTCCCTCAAACGCCTGAGTGCTACTCCCTGTTTGCATCTGTTTTGATAAATGATGTCGACGCCCTTCATCGAATTCTAAGTGGAATAATGTCAGGAAGAGACACAATCCTTGGCCTGTGCATCCTCGCATTAGGTAACCCTCAGTTAATTTTATTTTAGTGTCTATTTGTGCCAAAGTTTCTAGCATTTATGTCTGTTGTACAGTGAAGTTAGCCTCTTGACTTAAATATAAAACTTCACTTTGTATATTTTCTTTATAGATACTTTCAATGTTTCAGGTTCAAGTGGGGGAGGGGCAATAAGATGGGGAGAAGACCTGCTGGCTCTCTGCCAAGAGACCTCACTGGGTGGGGGTCACCTTAATATAGTGACCGTGTTCCAGTGCCTGGTATTCAGCTCTGCATAGGTTGGATATGCAAAGCAGATCACCAGTTTGTGAATTGGCCATCAAAAGTACAACTGTCAGGGGGACCAGAAATGTACGTTTTCTGGCCAGTGTGCCCTCTTCTTCTAGGCATGCTGGATCAGAAGGCTGCTTGGTGAGCAAGGGAAGGAGGTGTGTGCATCCACATTAAATAGCATCAGACAGCAATGGCCTGATGTGTCCAGCTCCTCCAAGGAACGTGCCTGCTTTGGGTTATAGGCAGGTCAAGGCCTTGGGCTGGAACATGCATCTTCCGGGCATTTCTGGAAGCGGCTATCCACTCTTGACCCTTGACTTCCCATTTTCTGTGTTTCTGCTTGATGAAGCCCTTTAAGAGTCCCTTTCTCTTTGAACAAGTTAGCATACTGTGTTGCGTTAGACAGTAGTAATGGCCTGTTATCCACCCCCTTCCCCAGTGGCTGCCTCCCTACCTCTTGGTTGAAAGAAACTCTTTGGTCAGCCATTAACATAATTTTGCCAGTTTACAAATTGTTTTCCATAATTTCATTACCAGCAAGTTACTAATTCCTGAATGCTTGGGAATGCTTAACTAGTGACCAGTATGTAACTTCCAGACTTCTTATGACCTAAATGTGCCAGGCAGTGTGCTTACTCTTAACTCATTAAAACCTCATCAGAATCTCATCACCATTTGTAGGAGAGGAAACTGAGGCTTAGAGAGGGTAAGTGCCTTGGCCAAGGTCACACATGTAGCAAAGTAGGTGGCAGAGCTGAGACCCAACCCAGATCTGTCTGATTCTCAAATCATGTTCTTAACCACTACACCAAAGTATCTGTCTGTAATCCTGATTTTGTGTTTAGAAAAAAATAATATAGTATTTATAGATTCATAAAATACTTGGAATAAATCCGTAAGCTTAAAAGCCCACATATTAGAAAATAATATGCAGATTTTTTACACATACAACTTACCCTATAATTAGAATCTTAAATTTTTCATTTTTAAAGGCATTAATCTTTCATATTTAATACTAATATCTGAGAACATTTAAAGTTAGGACTTTGCATAAGCCCAGTATGAAGTCAAAAGAGTTTTAAGCGTGGTAAAAAAAATTTAGAGGCCGGCCTGGTGGCGTAGCGGTTAAGTTCATGCATTCCACTTCAGCGGCCGGAGTTCACAGGTTTAGATCCTGGGCGTGGACCTACTTAACTGCTCATCAAGCCGTGCTGAGGTGGCGTCCCACATAGAAGAACTAAAAGGACCTACAACTAGGATATACAACTATGTACTGGGGCTTTGGGGAGAAAAAAAGAGGAAGATTGGCAACAGATGTTAGCGCAGGGTCAATCTTCCTCAAAAAACAAAATTTTAATGGTTCATTTGGATTTAAAAGAAAAAAAGATGTGAGTATTTGAGAATAATATCTGCTTTTAAAAAAATTTTTTTTAATTTAAAAAGAATGCTAGCACTTTCAGAGACTGGCTTTCTATAGCCGACTGAATTGGTATATGCTTCAGAGAGTGCCCTGGGTGTGTCTTGGTGTTTTTGTTTGGTGTTTGGTGGATGTCCCGAGATATTGAGAGACTGAAGCAAATCCTCAGCCCTCCCTCTTCTGGAGGCTTTAGTGACTGCAGTCCCATCATTGCCCTCCCATCTTGGTTGCTGTTGGGTTTATATGTTTTGCTTAATTTTTCAGCCTTGTCTCTGGCCATGATGTTCACCTTCCGATTCATCACCACCCTTCTGGTTCACATTTTAATTTCGTTGGTTATTGTAGGATTGTTGTGTAAGTATTTCTACTTGATTGATTTCTTTTTCATTAAATGAAAAGCCTTTCCATTAAGTGTAGAACTTAAAAGTTGGCATTTTTGAGCTAAATGGGGTCTTAGACAGTCTCTCATCCAACCCTGTCATTTTACGTATGAGAAGACTCAGGCCCAGAGAGGACAAAGGGAGTTGCTTAAGTCTCATAGATAATTGCAAAATTAATGCCCAATCTATTGTCTCTTCTACTTTATGCCGCCTCTGAGATGAGCCTGCCAGTTGAGTGATCCTGGTATCCATAACATTGAAAGAGAATTCCAGTGCCTGTTGGAAGCATTTTAAAGGATTTCTTCTGAACTTTGACATCACCCGTTGGCATGTGGGTGCCCATGACTGTCGTGCAAAGGCTCTACCCGGTCTGAAGAGCCACAGGCCCTGAGCTGGGGCAGGGCCCGGGGAGCCTCTCCTGTGCCCACTGTTCCCTTTGCATTGCTGGATTGTGGGTCCATCCAGGGGTTGTCGGAAAAGGGGTCCGATGGGCAGGGGCATGCAGGAAACTCAAGGCAGCAGCTATTTACCAACTGGTATGGGGTATTTTAATTTTTAATAATTGGTATGACCACAGTGTTTGATTCCCCTGGATAATCAGCTCTGCCCTCAGCAACTGGTAGCCCTGCAGTGTCCAGGTACACAGCATACCTGTGCTGGAAGATGGGCACCATGGCTGGTGAGGGATGCTTTCCCCATCTACTGCTAGTAAAGATGACTGTGACCTTCCTACAGTCACTGTGGATATGGCATAGGTGGCATTTAGTACCTAAATGGAGAGCATTTGCAATGTCAAGGTATCTGTCCAATGTTGTGGGTGCCCAGCCAACCGGAGTTGTCGCCACAGAGCTCACTTGGAAATTTTAGACTTTGAACTCTAATGTTGTCCCTCTCACCATGCTGTTGGTACAATTTCCTCCCAGCTCACACCCAGACCCAAGCTGTGGGATAGACTGACAGGACACACCTGTGTTCTGGGGTCACCTCCCTGCGTCTCCCAAAGACAAGTGGCCGCCACAGGTCTGGCGGGTCCTTGGAGAGCTGCCCTCTCCCTGCCCAGCTCCTTCAGAGGGCCAGTCTTTGCCCATAAAGCTCTGGGATTTGGGCCCCACTGCCTGAGCAGGGCACCCACTGTGTGGTTCCCCGTGCGGGGGTGGGGTTGTTCCCTTGTGCCATGTGTGCTGAGCCCCGCTGGTGTTTTGCTTTCCAGTTGTCTGCAGTGTCTTATGGTGGCTGTATTACGACTATACCTATGACCTCAGCATAGAATTGGACACAGAGAGGGAAAATATGAAGTGTTTGCTGGGGTTTGCCATTGTATCTACAGTCATCACGGTAAGAAACAAGTAGCCAGCCAGAACTTTTGGATTTTAACCAAAAACAACTAGAATTTGTTTTTCTCTCACCTCCGAAAGTGTGGTGAATGTATGTACATATTTAGTGCCTTCTTTTTATTTGAGACACCTACATAGGAGTAAGTTAAAACCTTCAAAAAATAAGAAAAAGTTCTTACTTCTTTCCAAGTCATTTCTGCCATCTCTAAGAGGTTGATTCGTTACTCTTGAATGCAGTATTTTCACTGTCAAGGGCGCCCTAAGGTGGACGCTCTAAAGTGGAGGGCAGACTTACCACGGTTCCTGTTTCCTGTCTGTGAGGAGAGGCCCCTGTCCAGCCAGAGACGCTCTGCTCTCTCCAGGCTGTGACAGATCCCACTGCCCTTGAGCACAGAGAGCCCTTTGTTTCCAAACCTGCTGGCCACTGTGTTATTTTGGTTTTCAGAGAACCTGCCGCCTCCTCGGTGAACTCCCTAGTTGAAAACAGGCAGACACAGAATGTTGAGGCAGCAGATACTGGTTGTTGGGGGAGGGCAGTTGGCAACTGAAAATCTTTCAGGTCACACCCCAGGTGGTATTAGAAGGCTAGAACCACAAGGCCCTGGAGAGGGTCTGGAAATTATTTCGGGGGACCCATGGTCATCCTTGCTACTGCGTTGCTTACTGTTTTATGGAGGAGCAACAGCCGGGGGTCTCCATAAGCCCATTAAGTCTTGCAGCGAATGCAGACTCTCTCACCAACTCAATTCTCTCTTCTAAGGAAGTCCTTCAGTTCCCATGTTTGGTACAGTGTTTACGTATTCTCCTTTCTAGTGAGGTTCCAGGTTTGTGTTCTTCACATAAACTGCATCTCAAGGAGCAAGTGTACGGCAAAGCAAAGCTCCTGATTTGCCCTGCCTCAGGCGGGGTCCAGGACCATAGCTGAGCTGGGGCCTGTGACGGAGGCTGGAGAAGAAAGGACCCGCCTGCACCCCAGGGCATGGCTGTTGGGAATGGGGGTTGGGGAGCAGGGCTCAGAGCCGGGGAGAGAGCCGCTTCTCCCTGAGCCCTCCACAGGGCTTTCTTTATCTTCACACACTGAACCATTAATGGCCACCCAGATGCCAGGGTCAGGGGTGAATTTTCCTCCTCACTGAGTGTAAGGTTAGGGAAAGGGAGGCTGTGAGAGCAGACAGAGGCTGTTTTCACCTGTGTTGGTGAGGACTGTGCAGTGGCTGCTACAGAGGGTAGAACTGAACCACAGCTCACACACCATTCATTTGGCACATGTGTCACTGCCACTTACTGATTTCCTACCAAGTGCTGGTTGCTGGATGAGCTTATCCTTGTAAGGGCCCTAGATTCTTTATCGTCATCACCATTTACTGAGCCCCTATTCTGCACAGAGCCCTGCACTAAGCAATAGAGCTAGCAAGACACAACACATAGATAGCACATGCCCCATGATAAGACGGATTACAAAGCAAGCAATGCCATAACGTGGTCCACAGGGAAAGATTCCGGCCTTTGCAGTCTTTGGGCCTATATTCAAATCCATGCCCCACCACCCACTTGTGACCTTGGAGAAATGACTTCCCCTCTTAGGCCTGGATCTCCTCATCTGTCAGATGGAAACACCACTGCAAGGTTGCCCAGGGGTATGGACTTCCCCTTCCCTAGGGGGCATCCACCGTGGAAGCTCGGCATTCCCACCAGAGAGCCGCCCCCAATGCTCCCTGGCTGGACCCCTGAGTCTGGGGAAGCTGGGCTGGCTCCAGAGCAAGAGGAGGGCCTTGCCCGCGAAAACCACTGCCAACCTGCTTCTTCCCTCTCCACCCCGGTCTCGGCTCCCACAGACCCTGCGCAAAGTGAGGGAAGGACGACAGGGAGGGAAAACCAGGGTGTGTCCCCTAGTCAGGCACCACTCCCTGCCCAGCGCCGGTCTCCAAGGGGAAAGAGGAATTATCAGCTGCCCCTCTTTTCCCTTACTCCCCCTTTCCTACCCCACTTTCCCAGAGAGGGGAAAGAAAGGAGAAAACTAACATTAGCAGGAGAGGAATAGAAGCAGGAGGAGGGTCACCTCCCTCAGCCCTCAGCCCTTCTTACTCACCTGGGAGCCCCCATCTCACTCATCTTCCCGCACGCCCTCCCCTCGTGTTGGAGCCCAGCAGAGACCCTGAGAGGCTCACCTGGTGGTCTGGATCCTGGGGAGAGCCTATCTGCTGCCAGGACCACTTGGGTAGGGATTTGTCTTCTGTCTCCTGAGTTCTTAGCACCTGCCTTACAAATAAACTTGAAAATGTTGTTTTCAACAGGAAAGATGGGGCTACCTGTGACTATTATTTACATAGTTTCAATATAACCGCTAGCAGCAATGAAGAAAATGGGGTGAATGGCATTAAATGCTGACCTCAGGGTGTCAGCCTAGGAGCACAGGCTGAAAGGCAGCTCCTTGCAGCTTAGAGCCCAGAAGAGTGAAGTCAAGGCTTGGCCCCTGTGGTTGAGTCAGCTGTGCTGCCAGGCCCAGCCCAGCCCACACCCCTAGCACCGTCCTGTTAGGTTATGCTGGTCTCCACTGAGGTGGGGGATGGGCAGTAATGGGTTCGAGTTAACACAGCACTTCTGATGAATATCCACATATGTACCTTGAGTAGGAGGGGAGCATTTTATGCATATATATAATAAGTTGTGAAACACACTCACATTTAAATACATATGTTAGCCTTCCACTCAGGAGCTAGAAGCCAGTGTATTTGCCTAAAGATTATATCATTTTGCTTTGTTAAAATATTAAGTAAAAAGAAAAAAAAAAATCCCTCTTCCTTGTTGATTGTGCCAGGCATTGAGGACACAGAGATGGAATTCCTACTTAGCCTTTACAACTCTTGGGTCTCCTCCAACCATCTTCCCTGGCTCCTCCTGACACTCCCCACAGCTGGGTCCAGAGGCTCTGCTCCCAGCTCCCAGAGCAGTTTTGCACAGTTTATCACACCATCCTCTGACTTTCCTCCACTTGACTGTGAGATGCTTGAACCAGGAATGCCCAAGCCCAGCTGGAAGAGAAAGGGCATGTTAGGCCAAGGGGATGGCATGTGTAGGGTCACATGAACAAGAGAGGGACCTGTAGGAAGTTCCCTCGGTGGAAGCCTGAGATGCAGGTGCAGGGAGAGTCCGTGGCAGGAAGGTCCTGATCTGCGATGATAATGACTTTGATCTTTATCCAGAGGCACTGGGGAACCACTGGTGGATTTTGGGCAGGGAGATGACATCCTTGATGCTACCCTTTGCAAAGATCCCTTTAGCTGTGGGTTGGAGGAGGCATTGGGGTGGGGGTAGGGGGTCAAGGGGATTAAAAGCAGAAGGCTAATGAGGAGGTTATTGGGCTCTAGATGGTAGAGGATGAGATTTGAGCTGTGGCATCAACAGTGGGAATAGACAGAACAGGATAGATTGAGAGATGAATCAGGAAACTGAATCCCAGGTGATTGGGATTGTGCTGGGCACTGGGCCCGGTGCCAGGCCTTGACAAGAAGGGATGGCCCTGCCTTCAAGGAGCTTCATCTAATGGAAAATACAGACAGTAAATATTTACGGTAGAATATGTTGAGTGCTACAATAAGGCAAGTATGGAATAAAATAGAAGCACACAAGAGAGGAGCCTAATTCATTCTTGAAGAGCCCCGGAAAATTAGGGCTGCTGGAGTAGGGAATATAGGGGAAAGAGATTTTAGCATGAAGCTAATGAATTTGGTTCAGGACAAGTTGAGTTTGAGTTTATTTGAAGGTTATCAGCATCTAGGAAGAATGCTAAAACCAGAAAGGAGTAGAAATACCCCTGAAAGATCCCAAGAAACAACAACCGACGAAGTAGGAGGAGAGCCAGAAGAAAGAGCAATCACGGAAGTCAAGTTTAAGAAAAAGAGGAGTGGACAAGAGATTCATGTGCCATGCTGAGTTCAAGCAAGATCTGGAATGTTTCCATGGGATTTGAAATTCAGGAGCTCAGAGGAAGCGACCTTAGGAAGAGTAGTTTCAGGAGAGTGTTGCGGTCTGGAGGTTTACAGGTGGTTGAAGAATGAGTTGGGGTATGGAAGTGTAGATGGCGAGTGTATATAAGTCTTTGAAGAAGCTTGCCTGTGAAGGGAATGAGAGGGATGGCAGTGGCTGGACCGGGATGTTGGGTGAAGGGTAGTTTGTTTCTTTAATATGATATTTCTATGCAGGGATGCCAAAACCCGTGGAGAAGAAGGCACAGAAGGTTGTTTCAAGGCACAATCACTGTGCTTTTCCCTCATACTCGTATTCCTTCACCCTTTTGCAGTCCTTCAGCATTCTCTGAGTATTTTGGGTGCTTTGGGGGAAAAAAGACATGGAAGACAGTTCCGTGACCCTAGAGGACCTTCTTTTCATTTTCTCTTGCTCTCTGACCAGACTGCAGGCTCCTGGAGGGCAGGAACTGTGTCTTGTTCACTTGTAGCTGCAGGATCTAACATGGGGACCACCACATAGCAGATGTTCCATTAGTGTTTGAGAATTTCTATGTTCAACGATAATAAAAGTAGTGAGTAACTATCTTAAAAGAGCTGTTTTCTGAGATGTCAGTAAAATATTAGGGTTTGTTTTAAGCTCTTCTCAGTTCTTCATTATTTTGACTAATTTGCTCTAACCGCTTTCTCACCAGGCAGTTCTGCTCGTGTTGATTTTTGTCCTCAGAAAGAGAATAAAATTGACAGTTGAACTTTTCCAAGTCATAAATAAAGCCATCAGCAGCTCTCCCTTCCTGCTGTTCCAGCCACTGTGGACATTTGCCATCCTCATTTTCTTCTGGGTCCTCTGGGTAGCTGTGCTCCTGAGCCTGGGAACTGCAGGTACGGGCAGGGGGGTGGGTGCATCACCTTGGAGTCATGCACAGAAGCTGATTTTGGAACCGTTGGCCTGTTTTTGTAGGGACCAAACCTCCCATTGACTAGAGGTGTCTGAAGACAACAGTGACAGTGCTAGGGGCTCTGTCATGGGGCAAAGCAGGAAATTCTTTTTCCCTTTTTATATGGTCTTTAAAGAAGCTGGGTTTGTGTTTCATGAGAGAACACATTCAGTAAGGACTGAAAGAGCTTCAGAAGAACTACAATATGAACAGAAGCCTACAGAAAGAATATTATCAAATGTCTCTGGGTTTAAATTTTATCCAAGGTAATTTGCCAACTCCTCTCAAATCAGTAGGAAGAAAGAAGAAGCCAGGAAAGACTCTATTAAAATTTTCTTGTGCTCAGCAGAGCCAGCTTAAGTGTAAAGCAAGTGCACACAGAGGTTCACACTGCTTTGATCCTGAGAAGACAATGCTGTGTCCTCCATCCTCCTGTCATATCCATGTGGTGGTTTCTACCAGAGAGAGTCCTCAGAATCAGCTATGGTGCTTTACTAAAATACAGATGCCTGGGCCCCATCCTCAGAGATTCTGACTCATTTGGTTTGAGGCAGGGCTAAATATCTTTTTTTTTTTTTGAAGCCACGTACAAGGCAAAGCAGCGCTATTCAAAGTGCTGTCTGAAACCAGATAAGGAGCTTATGCCAGAATGTATATCATTCCATTGCTTCCTTCACCGAGAAAGTCTTACTGTGAAAAAACAATGTCAGCAGAACAAAACAATGGGCTTAGTGATGCAGTTGACCTACATTCTGGCACAATCCCCTTATCTCATTGCAAACTAGTGACAAACAGCGTGAGGACAGGCAGCCAGTCTGTGGACCACACTTCGAGTGGTGCTATTCTAGATCTCTGATGCCTCTATTTGATTTGGTTAAGGCCCAAATTCACACTCTGGTTTGAGCGCAAAAAAGTAAGTTGCTTTCCGAGACTGTCACCAGGTAGATAAGAACCACAGCAGACGTCAAATCAACAAGGCTGCTGCACCTCAAGTTTATGTTTATCAAGTTTATTTCGTCCTCCATTGGCTCCAGTCATATATGTAAGCACAACTGCTGTGTAGTAGATTCTTAGTAAACTGGGTTCTCTTCCCTCTCCTCTGAAATAAACTGACGCCTTGGAGATTATTTCAAGATGGGCAGCAGGCCCCCTGGAAGTTGCAGCCCTTGGAAGCCCATATTTCCAGCTTCAGAGATGCTTTAGGGGCATTCTCTTCCATTGGAGGTCTCTGGAAGCTTGCTGAGGCCTGCAGTGAATTTCTGATAATTATCCAGAAAGGAATCTTGATCAAACAGGTACAGGACAGTAATGAGTCAGAATGAGGTCTGTCTGGGGTGACAGAAAACTCAAAACCACAGTGGCTTAGACAAGCTATAACGTCATTTCTCTCTGACATAAGTTAAGTCCACAAAGAGGAGACCCCATGCCAGTGTAGTCCTCCAGACAGGCACCTTCTTTCTTGTTTCACAACCTTTACCACTTGCTTCCACCTCGTAGATGAAATGGGCACTTGGGCTCCAACCACCATGTCTTATTCTAGCCATTAGGAGAAGTCATGACAGCACTTCCGCTTACACCCCATTGGCCAAATCCTAGTTTCATGGCAACACCTATCTACAAGGGAGGACAGGAAAGGTAGTTTCATTTTGGGTGGCCACACACAGTTAAAAAATTAGAGGTTCCATTATCAAGAAAAGAGGGAAGAACAGATATTGTGGGACAGATGGACGTCTCAACTAGGACAACATTGAACAGTCTTCTTCTAGCTCACTTGCTTGAAGTGGTCTCATTCCTGGTCAGAAAGGAGGGCAACGGCCTTTGTGCATGAAAGAGGACAAGCATTTGTTGAAAATTTCCTAAATTCCAAGCTCTGTGCTTGGTGCTTTCTTATGTTCTCTCATTTAAGCGTTGTAGCCCCCTTTTGTTGTATGCTTTGTTATGCTCAACTTACAGGCAAGAAAATTGAGGTTCTGAGTAAGTAATTTGCCAAAGGTCATGCAGCTAGGAAGTGCGATGACTCTGACTCCAGAGCTCTAGAATAGAACCTGTCCTCTTTCCACTCTCTCACATTTTCCTTGTGTCTGGGATTCAAAGCTAGGAAATCAAAATTAGGCCTCCTCAGTTCTGTCTGTTTGAATCGACCACAGCAGCTGGCTGGCAGATGCGGGCTGTGCCCATAACGTGGTGTTTGGGGCCTGCGGCTGCAGGGCGACATGGCAGGGCCAGAGGTTGAAGCAAGAGTGGGCTGGGAGTGACATGTGGCAGGAGGTGGCAGGAGGTGGCAGGGCACAGCACACGGGGTGGTGGGCTGTGGTACTTGAGCCTTTGCCCTGTAGAATCACCAGAGGAGGGGCGAGGTCTCGGGAAATATGGCTCAGGACCAGAGAAGGACCTTCCTCCCCCAGCCTCTAGGGGCTGTGAGTCTGGATGAAGGAAACTGGCTCTGTGGTTAAACCCATGATGCTTTGGAGCAGGACACATGCTTTCGTTCTTTCTTTAATTCACAAACGTTAGGTGAGTTCTGTGGGGACAAGGCCCGGGGCAAGGCGCCAGGGACGAGTGGTGGTCTCTCCCAGCAGCACTTTGAGTCAAGCAGGACAGACCAGCAAAAGTTGATGAAAGTCACTGTCGGAGAAATTTGGGGAGCTATGAGAACACCAGAACAAGGCTCCAACCCACTTTGTGAGTCAGGGAAGGCTTCTCAGGAGATGGGCTGGAAATTGCCAGAAAATACAGAAAGAAGCAAAAGGATTTAATGGAGTCACAACCAAACACAGGAGAGGACCCAGTCTCAGAGGACAAGGAGAGAGTCCTGAGAGTTGGGGGTATAGTCAGAGAGGAACAAGCCCCACAGCTGACTTGAGGTGAGCTGCTAGCATGGTGCGCCGTCAGTCCCCTCTCTTAGGCCCAAGTGGGGCCCAGGAGGCATTAAAGAGCCTCAGCCCCAGGATTGAGAGCAGGAGGGGCAGGGAGACAAGCAGGCTCTTCTGGAGGGCTGACGGTGGCACGTTGGTCTGTAGCCACCTTGGAGGGTCATGTATTAAAGTGTGGCAGTTCTCTATCAGTGTAAGAAGCAAACAAGCAAGAGTGAGAGGAATCGAAGGACAGGAAAGAAAGCTGGGCGCCAGGACCTGATGTGGCATCAATGATGTTCGAGTTGATATTAGACTTTACAGGAGGCAAGGTGTTGCACAGAGCAACCGCCTTCCCTCCTCCCTGCGGTCGGGCATCATACAACCAGGCTGGCATCCCCTCAGGCCACCTGCCTCTCCTTTCCACTCACCGCTGGGCTGACCCAGGTGCACAGAACTCTCTTTGTGTTCAAAAGCCTTTTCACCAAGTGCCAGAGCAACCGGCTCTAGGCCAGGGCAGGTCAGCAGCTGCATCGCTTTGATCTTCAGGCGGTGCCCCAGCTACACTTGTGAGAGACCGAGCTGCTCTCACCGCTCGTGCGAAGACGCCAGGCGATCTGGCGGTGAGAGATGCCTGCACCGCCTGATTGTCTCATTCACGTCCCCTCAGCTGCTTATGGGGCCCTCAGGCTCGTTCTCCAGTCTGCCCAATGTTGTGGGGGTGTCCTCAGTGGGTAAATAGTTGTGAGTCTTTGGTTTTGTCAGATGGTTGAAGTAATGATTATTTTGATGTGTAAAAAAGAAAGAAAATACAGAAAAAGTAAACTTAGGTTGATTGTTTTTGCCCAGATGAGCTGTATTTCTCTAGTGACTGTTAATCAGTCTCTTAACTAGTTGACAAATTCTGGTTTGTTTGGGGATTGTTTCAGCAGAGCATATCAAGGCCCCCCCAAGCAATGACATTTATTAATCTCTTGGGACTTGTCTGCTAATAGCAATGTGACAGTGACTGCTAAAATCCAGTGGAGGGCCGGCCCTGTGACGTAGCGGTTAAGTGCACACACTCCGCTGGTGGCGGCCCAGGTTCCGATCCTGGGCGCGCACCGATGCACTGCTTGTCAGGCCATGCTGTGGCAGCGTCCCATATAAAGTGGAGGAAGATGGGCACAGATGTTAGCCCAGGGCCAGTCTTCCTTAGCAAAAAGAGGAAAATTGGTGTGGATGTTAGCTCAGGGCTGAGCTTTCTCACAAAAAAAAATAAATAAAATAAATAAAATAAAATAAATAAAATAAAATAAAATAATCCAGTGAAAACTGTAATAATCTTGGGAATCCAGCAGGTGTAGTTGGCAGGTTGGAAAGAGCCCAAGTGATCTGATTACCCCCAGTTGTCATTATGGTGGTCTGGAGGCCCCGAGTCTGAATAATGGCAGAGGCTCATTTTGGAGGGTTGAGGGGGTTCCCCTCCCCATGATGTCACAGTTAGAAGACGTAACATAGGCATGTCTCGGCATGCTTGGGACAGGCAAAGGACCATGCTTGGAAAGGAGGCAGCAGGATCAGACAGAGGATTTTCCATCAAGGGACCCAGGATTCAGGCTGGCTCTGGCCTTCCTTGTGTGTTAATCCTCTGCACTTCCGTTTTCTCATTTTTGCAATGGAAAACTGATGCTTTCCCCAGGCTGCCTCACAAGGATGTTAGGAGGCTGAGATGGGACCAGAGCTTTGCTTTGCAAATAAAGGACCATACATGTTCCTAATTTTAGGAATTAATGTCAACTAAGGAAAATTGAGTACTAGCTTCAGCTTTGTGGTTTATTCTCTGCTCTGCTTGGCACATTTGAGAACATAGTTTAAAAGAAAATTGTCTTTTTTTAAGTTATCAGAGATCTAGAAGATAATTGAAGTTATTTTACAAAAGCCTGCTAGTGGCCCAGCCCTGTCCTAGGAACAGAGTGAAGGGAGATTGCACAGGAGAGATTTGAAACAGCTCCTGCTTTTCAGAAAGCATGGTCCCTTTGGGAAGGTGCAAAGGAAAACAACCTCCATGGACATCTCCATGCCCTCCACCTGCTATGATCTTCGTCTTGAA